TCAACTACCTGTATTAAGAAACAAAAAGGTGGTGGTGAAAATTGGGGACACTATATTTTTTGAAAAATTTGTGAGGAATATGAAGACAAAATTGTAAGAATTCCTAACAGCAATGAGAGTGTAAAGGTGAGGTAAAAACACGGATAGCATGGTGGAAATTGTAGAGGTCACTTGAATTATGTCACCAAGCAGAAAAAAAAATGATGCAGACAAGAAAGATGAGAACAAACCAGAGAAAAATTAATTTGAAATTAACAACAGTGATGATAAAAATCAGGTAAAAGTGCATACCGATGAAGTAACTAATGACAATGTTTCAAAATTTTCTGGATAAAAATTATTGCACGGAGCAAAATACTGTAAAAACAATAAAGACAAAGGTGATTTAAGTGGTCAAGTGAATAGTCAGATAGATAATGAATTAGAAATTGGGAAAGGAAAAAAAAGATGATAGAAAGAAAAAGAATCCAATTGGAAAAGACGAACCATGGTGAGAAACGGTTGAACATATACAGAGCTGGAGCGTATGAGCAGTTAGTGATAGTAATGTGATGCTGATTAAGAAGGATGGAAAAGAACAAGGCAAAAAAGAAGTGAATAAAGAAAGTGAAAAGAACCATTAAGAGGAAAAAGTAAAGAACTAATTTTTTACAATCTTTATTATCACAATAATACTGACATGTTTATAATGTATGCTACACTAAATGTGAATGGTCTAAATAATTTAGGTGAGCAAATGCAACTATTATCTGTCGTTAAGTATTATAATATTGACATCCTTGTGATACAGGAACATAATGTTAAAGATCCGGGAATTATATTACCTAAATGATTACTTCAAAATTATTATAAACAGTACACAGTTGTTAAAAGGAGGAACTGATCTACTAGTAAGGAAAAATTCCACTATCAAAATACCAAACTACAGTATGAGATAAATGTTAATGGCCACATTTTATGTGTCAGAGTTTCCTTGCTAAACAGTATAATTCCCATTATCAATATTTATCCACCATCAGGGGAAAAAAGAGAAACAAATTATTTTCTGATGATTTATTATACAATAGCAGATGTAATATTGAAAATGTAATAATAGCAGGAGATTTGAACTGTGCTACCAGCATGAGAGATTGAAGCAATCATGACGACAAAGGTTTGGTGTCTACAGCTTTATCAGCTCTTCTAAAGGATATAAAACTCGAGGATGTTGCCATGATATATAATTAGCAACAGGAATTTACACATGTTAGGGATAAATATGGATCAAGAATTGACAGGCTTTATGTTAAGGGGCTTGAAAACAGAATAGTAAAGTGTAATACTGTTCCAGTCAGTTTTTTTTCTGGCCATTCAATGGTTCTGTCAACATGCTCCAGTGTTAGCTCCTCTTAGCTTGATGTGACGTGATAAGGCGTATTAGGAGTGGTGATAGGAAAGATTAAGAGAGACTTGATATTTTCGTTATTTTTTTACTTAGTGTGTTAGGGGCAGCTTGATGTGATGTGATAAGGCGTAATAAGGTGTAATACGGCTTACTATGGCGTAATAAGGCATAATAAGGTTGGTGATGGACCATCAAAGATTGGTAGAGACTTGATCTTGTCACCCTAGACCGCCTCTACCATCCTCTACACAGGTAAATAACAGTCACTATTCATGCTTTACATTCCGTATTTAATGCTTATTTTGCTTTCTTTATATATCTGCTTTATTTTCATGCTTGAGTGTACACTACAGATATATCAAGGGTAGATGGGAGTTCTTTTGGGGGTGGCCAGTACCTAACCCCCTGAATTTGCTATAACCCCTGAATTTGCTATAATATTATGGTACTAATTACTTTGATAACCATTGATTCACTAACCAGCGACTTTTCACGGTCCCTATAGGCCTATGCTTCGGTATGCCTGAGTATTATGGGTTTGGGTGAGTGGAAGAATTATGTCCTGCTCTGTGATTGAAGTTATGAGCAAACTGTACAGATGCTTTGGGATAAAAACTTAAAAAATATCACCATAATTGTTAATTGTTTATCAGACAGGAAATTTTCTTTGTACCAAAAAGCTAAAATTGTTAACTCAAAAGTTTTGTCTAAGGTATGGTACCTCTCCCATACATTTCCACCAAGTAAAATGTATTTACAGAAAATTGAATAGTGTGTTTTTTAGATACACATGGAGTTGTATGTACAGTCGGGAACAAAAGTTAGCTCCCCGTGATGAAACTGAGGCACTGGAATGACTCTCCGAACTGACTTACCCTGACTGTTACATCCCATTTGGGGTGGATGCTGCTTCATTTTAGGTGCGAGCAAACTTTTGACCCCGACTGTACCAGCCAATTAAAAGACAAACTCTGTATTCACCTGTCAAACAAGAAGGTATTGGAGTAATTATTATTCTTTTGTAAAGCAGCTGCTATATTATGTACAACTTTCATAAATAATGCTTCAGACCATGAAAAGGGAAAACCTTTAACCCCTTATTAGACCTGTATAAGAACCAGTTATTTATTAGATATGAAACCTTCAGAAAATGTCTTACTTGTCTCCACCTTATTATTGGCGTTTATTGTAAGGAGTTTTCGATGCACAGAAAAGCTAACGCATTAGCTATTCTTTATGCGAAGATGCTGCTTTTGAGTTGTGTGTATGACACATTCAGAGGGAAAAGCTAACACCTCGATTAGGCGTTAGCCTTGTGCAGCGCCCAAGCTGGCCAAATAGCTACCAAACCAATCAGCGATTTCTCCCACTGAAAGTACGCTAATCATGGCCGCTTATGGAGAATATTTTGATTAATATTAAAGAGTTGGAGGCATGTAAGGCAATAAAAAACTGCGATATAATAATAAAAATAATTCTATACACGGCAGTATATTGGATAGGAACCTAAACCAAAGTGTATGGAGTGAAAGAATTGAAAAGGCTTGCGCGTAGTTGAGACCAGCTTTGGTTCCCCCCATTTTTAAGTGGGCTCTGTCCGATTTCATTAGCCGTTGGTGACTTTGGTGTAACATTATTGATAATTACTCAAATATGATTAAGAATTTAATATCATCACTCGTAAGATACTTTAGATAAGGGTGAACAAGATGATTACAGTTCTGTAAGTGCAAAATTTAAGACTTAAACGAGCCTGAAATTCGTCGTATTTCGTGAAAAAATATGCGAACACCTAGCTGCCAGAGAAGAAGCATACAGTACAGTTGCTCTTGTCATTTCGTGTGGTTCCAGAGTCCTGAGAAATTTCCTTTACAACGGATCCGATTTTCTTTTATTATTATATATTGTTGACTGGCTTTTTTCCGTTTTTGTCTTTCTTTCCATAATTTTCTATATCTTTTCTTCACTATTTCTTTCCGTATTGTGTCTAAATAACAGTTCTCTTAATTTTATTGATTTCTGAAGACTGTGTTGTACAACAGTTATTCCCAAGACGCAGTACAATGTCGTATTTTTTAATGACAGTCCGGGAAAGCTAACACGTTAGCTATTCCGTGCATCTTAAAACGCCTTAAAATAAACGCCTTATAGTAATGCATTCAATACCATAGGAAAGAGAGAAAGGCATGGACACTTTCCCAGTATTAGGAGTAAAGACGTTTACAATATGATAATAGCATGGACTAAACCAGCCGTTGAAGAAAAGTGTCTGCTGTTTAAATGGTCTTTTATTTGAAAATTTTCTACATGTAAATATATGGATCCTCACCAAAGAGGCTTCATATAATAAGGATTTTTTTTTTTTTGGCACCCCCCTTACATCCTTGTGTAAGGTGAAGCGCAGAAGCGTTTACAGAAACCAACAGAGAAGCATGCTAAGTTCATGCTTGCCTTTATGTCTCACGAGTTAAGGGCGTAGAAGCCTGAAGAGTCAGTGGTTTTATGTCATGAAGTTATTGGAAGCTCCAACAACTTTCCCTGAATACGAATTCGCAATTTTCGATTTACACCAGGTACCTACTTTACTGCTAGGTGAACAGGGACTAATGGGGGCAAGGAAGTAAGTCCAAACAACTTCCACCGGCCCGGGAATCGAACCCGTGACATCTCGCTTGCGAGGCAAGAACGGTACCGCATCTACCACCGATCCCCCAATAAGGATATTCATGAAACTATACCAACTAATCAGAGACTAAAGATGTTAAACATTAACATAGTTGTTTAAGATGTGGTCAGGTAGAATATCCATAATTTTAAATAACAAAGTGATAATTAAATGGCTCATTGATATCCTGAATACAATCTGCAATGTTAATACCAAATGATTTCTGCATTTGTTCATGTTTAATACAGTGATTATGCTAGTGTCATTATATTTACTATATGTGGATTAGTAGAAAGGAAAGCTACAATGTTGATGAGACTATAGCCTTTATTAGAAGTAGGATATAATATATTATTAATTGGATGATCAAATGTATTTTAAAAGACAAATCATTTAAATTTTTCACAGACATATATATATATGTAAACTCTAAAATTTTAAATAAAATATACAAAAAGGGTGGGGCTATCTGACTTCTCACCAGCCCAGTTCATAGGTGACAAGAGGTGAGATAGCCAGGTCGATACCCATGTTGGTTTAAAAGTTAATGCTGTAAAGACTAAATTAATGGTTGCTTCCAAATTGGAAATAATTCCTAAAATAAAAATTATGGTCGGCAATAACAAACTTAAACAACTGGGAATTTTTTTGTATTTGGAAAGTAACAACTTAGGAAAGTTAATGCTGCCTCCTTATATACTGAAGGCTTAGCATACAGTATGCTGTATCCACACTGTTCCTAACGGGCAGTCATGCTGACTTTTTAATGTTACTGTGTGTTGCTGAACCTTGTTAAGAAAATGATAAATTATTGTTTCTATCTATCTATCTACCTGTCTGTCTGTCTGTCTGTCATGTTGAATATGTCTATGAGTGGTAGCATTGTGTTTTGGTCCACTAATCTTTTGCTATCTGGTGTTCACGCTGTTTATCTTGGCCGTCAATAAACAGCCAGCACCTTAAGCATCACCTTCACTCTACCGATGTGTGGCTACATCATCGCCACCCACGGCTGGGACGCCACCTTCTACGTGACAGGGTGTTTGGCGTTGGTCTGGAGCTTCATCTGGCTCCCTCTGATGCACAATACCCCGGCTCAGCACCCCAGGTAGGCAATCTTACTGTTTATCCCTCCCCAGCGTATTTAAGCTGAAGATTAACCACCCTAATGCTACCTGGGAGGAAGTGTAGGTTTAGATTCAGCAAGGGTTAGGTTAGGTTAAGTTTGGTTGCTAAATCTTCAAGTGGAATTCCGTAAGCTGAGGTGTCTAATCAATAGGTGATCCGTGGTATTATCATCTGGGACTGGAAGGTATAGAACTGTACGGCATCCTTCCCCTTCTTCAGGCTACCAGTCTGAAATTTTCAATGATTAGTTCGTTACCAATTTCGTCTTCCAGTCTTGCACAAAGTTAAAGGGAGTACATTACTGTTTTCTGGTTATTCCAAGTGTTTGTTTTCACGTGTCTTGGTAGATTTTCTGGGTGATATCTCAGGCAATTCTTGAGTTAAGAAGCTGAAATTTTGACACGATGGTGACCAAGTGTTTAAAAAAAAAACATATATTTTTAGTTTTTAACTCGTATACAACGATCCCCATTTCGTCTTCAGGTGTCATGTTTTGGGCAGGACGGAGTACAGTGACCATACCAGTAACCAGTTTTTTTTCTCCATTTTCTGTTAAGTTTCCTAAGGTATATTTTTAAAGATAACTGGTCCAAACAGTAAACATAAAATCAGTTCTTTCGATGCTACTTTAATGAGAAAAATTAAAATACAATATTTATTTTTGTTTTACCTCAGAATTATCGCTGAGGAGGTGGAAGATGTAGAGATAAATAACTGTCGCTGCTAGTTTTGTCATCGTACCATCACAGTAAATGATCAAAACTCTTACACACAGGGGAAACAGTCAGTGTGTTCTCTTGCTTCAGAATCAGCACTAAGGAGCTGGAATACATTGAGACGGCCGTCACTGCTGGTGGTATCACAAGAACACGGCTGAGACGAGTCCCCTGGCGGGAGATGGCCACCAGCCTGCCAGTGTGGGCTATCATCGTCGGCGACATGGGCAACTCCTTCGGCCTCTCCCTCTATATGACTCAGCTGCCCACCTACATGAAGAATATCCTCGGGTTCTCCATTAAAGATGTATGTTTATTGGCGTTCATCAAGAATAATTCTTTAACTGCAACGAGTGGAGTGAGAAGAAGAGATAAAGTGCAAAGTTAGGAGAGAGAGTGTATTTTTACTCTTAGTTAAAAATGCATTTACTCCCATTTAGGTTAGATAAGTCATGTTTCGAGACAGTAAAATCCCCACCTGTTTACCTCTGCTAGAGGAAAATTACATGCAGGTATATTTTCCTCAGAATAGTGCGTTATCTGGGCTGCCGTTCTTGTGTCGCTATACAGGAGGTCTTATATGCAGCTGGAGCGGTGACTGGCTGCTGAGTCGTGGATACCTCTCCATCATCAATACTCGCAGGATATACAGTGCCATTGGTAGTATCTGGTTTGATTTCTTATATTACAAAAGAACCAACAAAACTGACTGTATGGGAAGTGTTCATTATTACTACATAAAATTGTACCAGAAGCTGAAGAAGTGAACAGAATAATTAGTTCTTGTTTTGAGCCACCCGAAAATTAGCCCCCACCAGCTTAATTCACAGTATGATTAACCACCCTAACACTAACATAAATGAGGTTAGTATTAGGTTATGTTATGTTACCAAACCTAACCTAATCTCACATAATATAAAATAACCTAAAGTACAGTAACTAATCTAACCTAACCAATCTAACATAATACAAGCTAACCGAATTTCACGTTAAGATTAGGTGCCCCCAGCTTTTTTCACCTTAATATTCACCGCCCTAATGCTAACCTAATCTTACCTAACACCCAGGTAGTGTTAGGTTATTTAATCATCTGGTGGTATAAGTTGAGTTGTCGAGTCTTCAGGTGATCCTAGTTTAATTTATTGTATATAATTTTCGGCTGCGTTCACTCAACCTAATTTAGTATTCCTGTTAGATCTGATTGGTAATGTTCTGGCATTTTTCCCACAGCGATGTTAGGTCCTGCTGTAGTGCTAATGGTGGTGGCTCACTCCGGCTGTGACCCTTCAGTTGCTGTGGCACTTCTGTGTTTCAGTCTGTTCCTCAACGGCGCCATCACCACCAGCCAGCTCGTCAACCACACCGACATTGCCCCGAACTTTTCAGGTACCTGCTGCTGGTGCTACTTACTTAATGTTATCCTCTTTCTCAGTATAAATAAATCAGTTATTCTTTGCTGTAAATCAATTTTCTGTATATTTTTCCAGTGAAGCATCCATCTCATCCATATCTTTGCCTCTTGCTGCAGCGAATGATATACCGTCAGAGGGTTTAGTATTTGTACTGGTGATATTTTGAATCTATAGATTAGAGAGTAGAGTCCAGTGGCTCCCAAGCATTTCTCAGTCCGACCCTGAGACATTATATATATATATATATATATATATATATATATATATATATATATATATATATATATATATATATATATATATATATATATATATAAGAATTCTTAGAATTAATACGGACATATTTTTATTTATACGTATTTAACTGTAAACTCAAATAAGGAACCAGTACATAAGAAGATAAAGAAAATAAGAATGGAGGAAACTGCAGCGGGCCTATTGGCCCATACTGAGCAGTCCTGTTTACACCCAACCCCGATCGCTCAAATATCCATCTAACCTTTGTTTGAAGCTATCCGAGAGCCAGCTGAGCAGTGAGGTGAGAAGACGCATGTCGCAGTTACTCCCGACCCACGTGCTTCCACTACAAGTAGCTCACGTCGGCCACACACGCCACTCTCACTTTGACGTGGGTATCTCGTCTCTGTTGAATTGACTTGCTTGTTTGTGTGTTTTATGCTCACATTTCATAGTGCCCTCATCGATTCTCCCAGTATTAACGAACCCTGCGGGAACTGTCGTTAGGACAGGCCACAAAGGGTGTGAGCTTGGCCGGTGAGTTTAGCTGATAGGGTAGAGTAGGTTCCCCCTTTTTGGGGGGTCATGTTGCAAAACCAGAGCCACCAACCTACGACCCCCGTTGGGGGGAGGTGGCAACGGCACTGGTCCTAGGGCAACAAGGAACTAGGTAAGGTAGTGAGCCTCCATTGTCAATTTATTCATATAAAGACGAGCGAGAGAGACGTAACCGATGGAAGGACAATGCCACAAGAGGCCTCGGAAGGAAAACAACATCTCCGACATAGACAATATGCCCTCAACACTCCACCTTGAGACAGAACCACCCACCTTCGCGATTCCGACTGTGATAAAGTACAGGATTCCCAAAGAAACCGAATTCAACCATGCATACGAGGTAGTTGTAGCATTGGAACTAGAATATAAGAAAATCAAGTTCATTGTGAAGCCCAATCTAGTTGGAGATCTGATACTCTCTCCCCAAGACCACATACAGCCAAGATCCTCAGCGAGGTCACCAACCTCAACGGGAAGACGGTCAAGATAATACCATGAGACCCCGAGGAGAAAACAACCAGAATGGTCCTACTACGATATCCTCTGGAACTACCTGTAGAAGTTATCATAAAACATCAAAAAGTGACCAAGGCAGAGCGTTGTGTTACGAGTCAGGACAAAGCACAGACAAGGCATATGCTGGTGGACATCAAGGGGACAGTCCCAGAGGAGGTAGACCTAGGCAACTGGGGAACTTACAAGTTGCGTCCTTTTGTCCCAGAACCACTACGATGCTACAAATGTCAGAAATTTGGACATCACCAATCCAGGTGCCACAAAAAAGTGAGATGTGGCATCTGCAGCCAAAGCCACAAGACAGAAATGTGTATTAAAAACCACAAGAAAGGAACTACCACGACAGCCAAGTGCCCAAATTGTGGAAAGAAACATTACGCTTGGAGCACATCATGCCCAGAGAGGAGAGAGGGATTGAAAGTTGCAATGGCAAAAATTCAACCACAAAACACAACAGAAGCACCCCAGAGCACATTCGTGTGGGGTCAACAGCGACAGAAAACAGTCAACCCAACACCCACCCCACCCCAACTGTCAGAGGATTCCTTCCCTGCACTTCCCCCACCAGGCTACAGACCAAATTGAAGACACCGGGACAAAATCAGTCCGTGCAGGAAACCATGATAAATCAGTGGACTCCACAACCGCAGCTCCAGAGCTGTATAGCAGTAAAAGCACAGAACACTCCAGTATTGGTGGAGAACACCATATTGCCTGGGACACTACAACCCCCTCAGGCGACTACCCAACTGAATACACCCCAGCCTGTCAATCTACAAGCGGCATTCACAGAAGAACAAATAAAACGGATGATCACCATTATGATAGTGACTGTCTCTAGTATAATGAAGAAACAAGATACAGCACCGAAAATAGAATAAATACAGTTATAGCACAGCTTACAGAAAAGATGCAGGAAGACCAGAGCCCCCAAATTCCACAACTACAAGTGGAACAGACGACACCCTTGAGTCATTATCAGACAAGAAGAAGAACTTGCCATCCGAGAGATCACTCAAAACCGCGAAACCTCTAGACCCTTGCAACTGATCACAGGCAAGAGGGACAGCACACTGAAGAGAGCACAAAAAACTCCAGATATACCTCCAAAAACAACCGGAATGGTGTGCTCATTGGTGGCAAACAGCCACCAATGAGCACACCATTCCTAACGGACGAGGAGAAGAGCGACTCAACCATGAACGCCGAGAGCAACTACAGCACCAGCGACGAGGAAATAATGATAGAATAGCCCCACCTCCTTGTCATCTCAAGATAACGCAGTGGAATGTACAAGGCCTGTCCAACAAACGGCATACTGTACAAGCAGCTAAAAATATTGATGTCTTTATTCTGTAAGAAACCCTGATGTCAAAAGATAAACAATTCCGCTTGCCTGGATACCAACAGTACAAAAAGGGCCCAACTTCCATGGCAGCATGATTCTCGTCAGGGCGATCATCCCCAGTTCAGAAGTAGAACCAGTTCACCGTGGAGATGGAGTAGAGGCGCAAGCTGTTCGGATACACCTGGCAAACGACACAGTCTTGTAGTATACAACATCTATAAACCGCCACCCAAACGACTAGAAGCCGGTGAACTACTGACACAAGCAACACAGAAACTTGTGCTCATTGCTGGGGACTTTAATGCCCACCATCGAACGATCAATCCGACCACAACAATGAACCAGGATGGTCACGACCCTGTGGAACTGCTGACAGATGTTCCATAAATAACGCTCATTAATACTGGGGAACCAACAGTAGACCTCACATTCACCTCCACTGAGCTCATTCCAGTAGCTCAGTGGGAGGTAGATGATGAACTGACCAGTGACCACTTTGCAACGACAACTACTTTGAGGATGGAGCTACTCCCTCCACCCCCAGGTCCGCCACCTAGATGGAATACCAAGAAAGCAAATTGGAAATTATGTCACCAAAAACTTAAAAAATGGTATTCGAACTATGAACCAGCAGAAGATATTGGTCAACTAAACCAGGACTTTACTGATGCAATACAACACGCAGCAGAGGAAGCAATACCAAAAAAAAAACTACAAATACACACCACAGAGACTACTGGTTCCACAATGACGAGGTTCAGAGAACAGAATCACAGAATCAACACATTCAGAAGACATCTCCGACAGTACCCTTCCTCTGAGGGAGTGAAACTCTTGAGAGCTGCTGTCCAACATACTCGTCAAATTACACAGATAATTTGGGAAGACAAATGGCTCGAGTAGTGTGCAACCTTTAATGCGCACACCAGCCTGAGAAAACTCAGGATAGCAACAGGAAAACTGCCCAGAGCTCCAGCCCACCCCCAGCCACTACAGGAAGCAAATCGCTTGGCAGAGCACTTTGCAGAACGCTCAACTACCTCCTGAAATAAGACTTCATCTACAGCAAGTACAACTGGAGAGAGAAGTAGTAGTCTGACATGCAATTGAACAAACTGACACTACAGACTGTCTGTTTACTAAAGAAGAAATCAGAAGGGTCAAGAAAACAAGCAAAGACACCGCCCCTGGCAGTGATGGTATAACATATTCATTGATCAGCAATGCCGGAATTGCTGTTGAACTTGCTCTCCTAACAGTTATCAACTCATCATGGTCAGCAGGCAAACTCCCGTCAGCCTGGAAAAGGGCAAACATTGTTTCCATTCACAAACCCAATGACCCCTAGAATTTCAGACCATTATCACTAACAGCATGCATCGGCAAAACACCCTAAAGCATGGTCCTTACACGACTCATCTAGAAAACTGAACCACTTCACCACAATATCTTTGGATTCAGCAAAGGTGTCAGCACTGCACACAGTTTGGCCACTCTCCTGGGATCGATTGGTCAAAATAAGGCAATCGTAGTATTCCTTGATCTACTGTAGAGAAAGCATTTGAGCTGGCAAATGCACAGGCCATTGTAACCACTCTGGCCCGGAAAGGCGTCAAGGGATGCCTACTTTCTTGGATTGCCGACTATTTCCAAAACAGAACAGCAAGAGTTACCTGTCAAGGACAAGTCTCAGATCACCAAAGACTGGAAAATGGCACACCACAAGGAGTTCTTAGTCACACTCTTTTAAACATCCTCATGGAAATCATGTGTCGGCTCCCCGTTCAAGACGGTACCAAACTGCTATGCTATGCTGATGACTTAGCACTGAAAGTAAAAGGCAGAAACCAGATCATCAAAGTCCAAAGAACACTAGACCTCATTAGTGATGAATGTATGAGTCTCAGGCTCAAGATATCAATCCCAAAATCAAAAGTAATGAGGATTGGACACAATGAGCCGGTGACACAACTGCAAATACAAGGTATTGCCCTACAATGGGTCAATCAATGTATACAAATACCTGGGCATCTGGATTGACAAAGGTCTCAAATTTGAGAAAGAGATAAACTATCTAAGAAACCGAATGGGCAAGAGAGTCAACATGGTGGGTGCGGGACATGTAGTCCTAAGAACGCTATATATACACGCCATTCGATCATTAACATACTATATGATGCGACACCGTCTCAACACTGTCTGAGTGGCAGTGGGAGAAATTGGAGGTTGCCCAGAATAACGATATGAGAGTCATTGTCAAGGTACCTATGTGGACAAATATTGAAAACTTACACATGGAGACAGGTCTCACATCT